AGGGCTGTGGGTCTGGGTGGGTGTGTCATGGTGCGAGCAGGGAGGGCCGTTGACTGCCTCCGCCTCGGAGAGCCCCATTAGGGCCACGTCCCTCACCTGGCCCTCTGGGGAGGGTCTGAAGGGGTCAGCTGCTCCATCCTGTTTACAGGTGGCCAGAATAACTGGCCTGAGGCTGGGTCGTGGGTGTCACATGCACGCTGGCCTGTTGCTTGGTCAGTGCTCCTGTGTCCTGGGGCTGTCCTCATGCTGGCGACGCTGGAGGGGTTGGGCCACTGTCCCTGGGTTTGTCCCCGCCTGAGCTTCTGTCAGGGGATGTCTACCTCGGGCTGCTGCGTCCTTGAGGACATCAGAGTGGCCCTGAATGTCTGCCTTGGTTTCCCTCAACAGGAGTGGCCCATCTTGAAGGTGGCTGTGACCTCCCGTGCCTTGGCTCTGGCTGCAGGTCCCTGGCGCCGGCGGGTCGGCAGGCTCTCGGGGAGGATCGAGTGTGGTCAGGAGCAGAGCTGGGCCGCGCCAGGCCTCTCTTGGGTTCCCTTCTTAAGTGGAGGGTCCTGACCGCAGCCAGACAGCCTGTAACAGGAGCTGGCCCCAGGAGGGCCCTGCTGGTGCCTGCGGGGCTGGGGGAGGCGCAGGTGTGACCTTGCCCCTGTTTTATCCCAGGGCCCTTTCCTTTCTGCGCCTCCACAGCTCTGACGCAGCCCTTTCTCTGGGGAAGAGAGGCTGGACCAGGACCAGCCCCAGCCGCGTGACGAGGGGGTGTCAGGGCTGAAGTCACCAGAGGCTGCCTTCCCCTCAAAGGGTCATGTCCTCTAGATGGAAAGTCCCAGAATCATGCGGCTGTGCACTCACAGGGCTTGGCCCGTCCTGGACCTGCCTCTTGGTGGCACGGTCTGCGGCTCCCTGCAGGTGTGTGTGCCACGGGGGCACATGAGCCACGGGCCTGCGTGGTGTGTGTAGATGAGTGTGCAGGGTGTGTGCACAGGGACTGCCGTGTGTGTGAGCGTGGGTGAGTGGGAACTGTCGTGTCTGACACTGTGTGAGCACGCATACATACACGCGTGTGTGTTCCATGATGTCCGTGGCTGCACGCGTGGGCCTCTGCCTGCACTTGCTGGGCTCTGAGGTCCTCTACTTCTGTATGCAGAGCGGGCACTTGGCATTGTGCAGTCCGCTGAGCATCCTTGGGCTTCCCTGCCCACCTGGCCTCAGCCTTGCCCCTGTGCCTGGCTGGCCGATGTCTGCTGGCCTGCCCTGTCCCT